ACATCATTGTTTTCTCAAAATCACATAAAGTCATATTATAACATCGATTGAGATAAAGAATAAAATGAAATATTAAAATCACGATGTATCTCGCTGCATATATATATATATATATATATATATATATATAGTTGTAAAAAATGAAAAAGTTCTTATGCAAATCTATAGTATGAATATAAAAGAATAAGAACAATTAATCAAATATGTAAATCTTAGTTGTAATTGTCGATTCTTCTTAAAACACAGAAAAGGAGTGAGGGCCTACATGATAGCAGTGTTCTAACACAAAAATTCGTTGATGGTATTGGTGTTTGTCTAGATAATACCGCAATCGAATTCAAGCTCCTACTTGAATCTAGTGAATTAAATAATGTTTGGTGATGGAATTTTTTAGTGAAAATATATGAGATAAACCAAAAAGAATTTGTATATTTTGAAATCCATTAACACCCACACATCAAGACTCAAGTTTTTAAATCCAAAAAGGAATCAGTATTTCTCTATCTCTAATATAATTAGCTAACGAGCTAACAGCCTGTGAGATTAACAACTTACTTAATCCTCTAATGAACGCCTTCTTATTCTGACATAACTATCTGCCACATCACTTACTACCAGCTACCAGCTCTCATGTCATCGATTTTTGTTAATACATATTGCTTGAGGCGAAGAATCGTGTGAGAAGAACAGTTAAAATGAGAAGCATAAGAAGGAATATGGACCCTTGGTCACTTTTAATCTCAAACTCACATATGAATCGCGCTTGATACGAGGATTGATCTAATGCATCTCATCTTAATATGCATCAAAGGGTGGGGATTCTTTCTTAAGGTTTTCATCTTTTAACTCTTTTTCTCACCATAACCCAATCTTATTGTTTATCCTCCTCCAAACTTTTTAAGATATGCCTCAATAGCATATGCTTTGATTTCTTTCTCTAAAATGCAATATTTGCTTCTTTCTCACTAGATGCCAATTACGTTTCATCAAAATAGTGATGGTCAAACCGGCCCGATCCGAGACCGCCAGAGGACCGGAACCGGGACCGGCCAAGGTCCGGCCCGGTTCCGGATCGATTATGGGACCGCCGGTTACATCCGGTTATGGTTTTTGTCAGATTTGTGGGACCGGTTATGGACTGACCCGGCCCGGCCTGAAATATAATAAAATGACCGTTTTTTTTAAATATAGCTGTTAACTAGTCGTTTTTTATCGTTTTTTTTTTTTTGTATTTTTTGGCCTCTCAACACTATAAATATGTAACAAGGTTGAGAGATTTACATACCGAGTTCTCAATTTGCAAAAAACGCAAAAAACTTTCACAATTCTCGTAATAAAACGTATTTTTAAAGTGTATTTGAGTGACCCGTACGACAAATTTAGTAATGTATTAAAAATATATATATCATTATTTTTTTAAGGGTGAGACCAGTGGCCCATAACCTGTTATAAACTAGCCTGACCGGTCTTCATCTATTCGACCGAGACCAGGACCTGTTATAGCCAGTTATGAGAAATCTTGGGACCGGCCCGTCCCGACCTAAGACGGATTTTTGGCCATCACTACATCAAAATCAAAAGAAGGTGAAGGTGTGTCGGCCCCAATTTATATTCTTGGACTCGGGCCTTAACTCATCTATTCAAAAAATTTACAATTGGGCTTTATTAAAACTCATGTCCAACAACACTTTTTAAGTTTTAACAAAACCCATTGGGCCACATAATATGATAGATCCAGCCCATAACATCTACTCCCAAAATTTCTGTTTATATCATTAAATATGATATTATAAATCGAAATGTCGAATGCGACATTATATAAAACAACGTATGCGAAAGATTAAAATGTCACGTATGACATCTCCAACCCATCATTAAAACACAGAAATATAGTTCATGTTTACTTCAACCTTGTTAGATGGAAGCCGGTTCCACGAYTTTAGTGGAAATGATGATCCTGCTCCCCCTGAAAGTATCATCTACCTGAGGCTAAGGAGACCTGTTGTTCGTTTTCTCCCTCTTGGTGGTATCAGTCGGAATACCTTATTTGTCTTTTCAGGAAAATGGATATCTCAAGAAAATACCCTGAAATAAATAATTGTTCTAATGAAACCTTCTCTTCTACCATAGATTCAGACAGACACACAGACCATGCCGTAGTTCACGAATCACGACTCATGATCTCATACCATCAAATTTAATCATCTACCATAATACTTGATACCAAAACGTAAAAGACTTTTACTCATTTAATTTTGGGTTCATAAACAAAATAAATATTTAACATCATATATTTAATTATATTACATATACATTATATCTGGTTCGGGTCGAATATCCACGAATACTTGTAATTCAAAAAGGAAATCAACCGTAAATACCCTTTTTTTTCAGTTTCTGGTTTTCCTTTTTGGGGTTTCAAATCAAATGGTACACTTAGTTTTCTTGTTTATATAATGTAGGGACAAAAACTGTTAAAATTGAAAAAACATAAGGACTGAAAATGAAATTTAAGAGTCGTTTACTAAACGCTTACCTTTTCAATTATCTTACCGGACGAATATAACAAGAATCGATAATCTCATTTGGTAAGAGGGAAGATAAGGATCAAGAGTCTTCCCGGT